CACGATCTCGCGAGATGTCGCGCGATCTCGCGTGAGTTCGAGCCCCGCATCGGGCTCTGTGCTGACCGCTCAGAGCCCGGAGCCTGCTTCGGATTGTGTCTCCCCCTCTCTCTGCCCCTCCCCTGCTCATGCTCTGTCTCTCTCAACAATAAACGAATGTTAGAAAAAATAAGAAATGAAATCAAAATTAAAACGCATGTTCGTTTTGCCGACCATTGACGGGTACACGTGCTACCAAGCCACGGTCGTATACGCAAAAGGTGTCCGTGAAATGCGTGTGCAAACGCACAGCGCCTTCGGGGTGAGGATGCCTTTCGGGACGGCACCTGTTCACTCGCGGCCTCTGCACGGATGCCATGTTCTCTCCAAGCTGGTACAGGGAATGCGGACGTGAGGACTTCTTTTTTTTCATTTTTTTTTTAAGGTTTATTTATTATTGAGAGACAGAGAGACACAGAGCATGAGCAGGGGAGGGGCAGAGACATGGAGAGACCCAGAATCTGAAACAGGATCCAGGCTCCGAGCTGTCAGCACAGAGCCCGACGCGGGGCTCGAGACCGTGACCCCAGCCGACGTCGGACCCTTAACCGACTGGGCCACCGACTGACTTCTTGATTAGTAAAGCAAGAACATTCCTTCCGGGGAGGCTTCACTACCAAGGCTCGGTGTCACAAATGCATATGGCAGGCACCCTCTGCTGTCGTGGGGATCCAACAATGAATCCACCGTTCTGGTGGGCAAATATGGTCTAGGCTCCAGATAGCGCCTGGGTGGTACACATGTAGAATGAAACCTGTATGTAAGCCGGAGACGTTCTGGATTTCTCTGGAACAGGACGGGTGGTAAATTTGGCTAGAACCCATCGGAAAAAGCATGGTGTTCCAGAGTCTGGGCATGGCGCTCAGCCCTTGAAAAGACCCCAAGTGGCCAAAACTACACAGGTCACGGCACTACCGTGTTCTACAGCTGTGAATTTGGTTGAAAAGCTGAAAAAATACGCAGAACCCTACCTTCCCACCTCGCAAATGCGTAAGTACGTGCATGCGTGTGCATGCACACGCGCACACAGTCTCTTCATCAATTAGGATGCACCCATTCTGTGGATATATCCTATTGTCGCTCCTGATTCACAGCCAGGATCATAATCCACGCAGAGCCTTTCTCAGCTCTAGAGAACAATGCAGCGCCATGTTTTCATGCAACCTGATTTCACCCTTCAAAGGCACAGGAGAGAATTCACAATGGGGGAGATTAGAACAGGGCCAAGAGACAGCCAGTGGTAAGGAATGAAAGGGAGCTTTTGGGATTAATCAGCCAAGTGGAAGGTGCATAGACCCAAGGACTGCATGGGTGGAGACCAGGAGACCCAGGCAGAAGGAGTGGGTCAACGACAGGAGTCTGTCACCTGCGTTCCAGCTGAACTGCGATTTGGGGCACGAGCAGGTTGACATACAGACGTATCTGGGCAAAGATAGGACTTAGTGTCTACCCTTCTGCTCCCAATTTCAACACGCATCACTGTTCTTTCCCCCACACCATGAAGCGATTCTGGGACACCAACCCGGCATCCTACAATTCAACTCAATTCTGACACGGTCGACCTGGAGACCACAGAGATCCCACAGGAGAAGGGCGCAGTCCCAAAACAATGGCCCAGCACACACACTTCAGACGCCAATTCCAAGTCCGGCTTGTCACCTGTGCTTGTGACTGACCCGCTAGAGACGAGAGGTTCCCAAGACCCCTCCTTGGGTTCCATTAATCTGCTAGAGTGGTTCACAGAGCTCAGGGGAAACACGTAACTAGGTAAATCACCGGCTTAAGATAAAGAGATAGAAGCCAGGAATGGCCGAGATGGAAGAGAAGCGGGGGGTCAGGTGTGGGGAACCGTCCGTGCTCTCTCCAGGTGAGCAGTCTCCTCCAAATCTCCCCAAGTTCACCAACCAACTCGGAAACTCCCAAACCCCGTCTTTCTGGGATTTCATAGAGGCTTCATCAAGTAGGCGAGGTTGATGAAATCATTGGCCTTTGGGGATTAACTCAAACTCCAGCCCCTCTCCCCTCCCCGGAGATGTGGGGTGGGTCTGAGCAGCCCAAGCCTCCAATTACAGGATTAGTTTCCCCAGCAACCAGCCCTCTGCCCTGGGGGGGCGGGGAGGTTCTCCAAAAGTCACCTCATTCACATAACAAAAGCCACCTTTGTCACTCTGCTCCCTTAGGAAATTCCAAGGGTTTTAGGGCCTCGGTGCCAGGGACAAAAAGAGCAAACATCTATTTCTTGCCAAAAATCCCAACATCACAGGGACAAACGTCACACACTAACGACTGAGTGGGGCACAGGACAGTGGTGTGTATGGATATGTGGAGACACATCTGTCCCACAAATCTCTCAATAAGATCCAACAAAGCATCAATAACAATCCTACGAAAGTCACTATATATCAAGTGTGCTGTGGAGTACTCCCCAAGTAGTCGAAAAACAAGGCTACAAAAAAAAAAAAA